AACTAAGAGTTTATCTACTCCTAAATTTCTCAAAAGATTATTGTTATGTTTTAACCCTTTTAACAAGTTTGTTCCACCATTGTATTTGGTGGACAACCTTATGTTAGGATGTGAAAGGGACAGGCGCGGGTCATCGTTTAGACCATAATTGCAACGGCGTTAAATGTCTTTGGGAAATTTTCTTTAAGGGACTTGATCATTTGTTTTTGTTTGTTTTGAAAAGCTTTATCGAGGGACTATGATCATTCAAATTGTTTGCTTTGCCCAAAGAAGTTCAACATACAATATGGCCCATTTATTTGAAGGTGTGATCGGTGGATCTGGAACTGACTGTTTAACGCTGGTTCGCGAAATGTCGCGGAAGCAAGAGTCGCCACCGTCTTTTATTTTCTCCAAATGGAAAGGACAAAAGCACAGAAAAATTCCTTAAAGAGATTGCTCTCGGTTCGGGACGTAGATTATAGAAAGGGAAGGTATTAGCACCCTTTCTATCCATGGTTATCCATGGGCTCTTAGATACTTGCTCATTTGTGTTTTCAAAAGTGTTTGCTTTTCAATTGGGAGTGGCTTTAAAAAAAAGTTTCGTTTAAAGATTTCAGATCGACTCTTGTATCAGTCCTCAAGAGTGTTTGAAAAATTATTTTGAAAGCTTTTTGAAAAGTGTCGGTGTGAAAAGATTTTTGTTTGTTTTTGAAGTTAGAGCAAGTATCTACGAGAACCTACCTACCCTAAGGAATTCATCTGTGTAAATGTCCTTTAAAGTAGTGCCATCCCACCATTGAGAGGTAGGTAGCACCACCGTTGGAGGTGTTCGGGTCAATTCGAGTTTAGGGACATGGTGATCACCAGAGCAATGGGAAGACACCTTAGAAGCTACCCTCATGCCAGGTTCCCGGATCATGAGGACTTACTAAGACATCCTCTACTCGACGATCACCTTTCGAGGCAAGGCAACAGTGAGGCGTACCCTAGGGGTGGTGTGTGATTTGTGTGTCGTTTTCATTTATCTTATCTTGTCATGATTTTAGTGTTCTACGCTTGTTTTTATTTGGACATTCATTCTTGCATGCTTTGTTTAACAGTTAAAAATTGCGGGAAAAGTAAATCTAAAGCTATTACAAATGGCGCGGGTCCACATCGCCAAAATTAACCAGGACCCGATTTGACAGAAAATAAAGAAAGTAAAAGAATTAAAAGAAATTGAAAAGAATGCGAGAAGTAATTACAAGGCTTCGGGAGAGATACATAATTATTTGAGCGGAATAAAATAAATATGCGAAGAAATAAGAAATTACGAACGAAACGAGGGCGTTGGACCCTTTTGCAAAAATTAAATTAACGACAAATTAATTAATTAAAAAGAAAGCAAGAAATTGTTTTTTGGGTATTTTTTAGTGTTTTTAGAAAAAGAATTAATTAAAATTAAAATAAAAAGCAAACCCTAATTCTAGTTACTTTTTTAATTTATTAAGAAATATTGAAATTTGACCTAATTTAAATCTAAATTATTTTCATGCAAATTTAATTATAAAAGTAAATAAAATAAATATTATTATTGTGAAAAAAGAAAAATTAAAAAAGAATAAAACATTAATTAAACCTATTTCTACATTTTTTAGATTTTTTATGAAAAGAATTAATATTAAAACCCTAATTTATACTAAGTTTATTTACATGCAATTTGTTTATGAAAATAATCAAAATAAGATATTTATTATATTTTTTTATCTTTTTCTGGTTTTTAGGCATTTTTTGTATTTTATAAAAATAATTAATTAAATTAAAACAAATAAAGAAGATAATGTAATCATTGAAAAAATAAAATATGAGGAAAATTGCAAACCAGGGGGGGTTCAGGCCCCAATTAGGAGGTATGGGCTCAGCAATCTGGCCCATTTAGCTTTGGCCTCGTTGGACTTTTTAGAATCACGTGTGGTGCGTTGACTAGGGCGTAGCGTGCTCTTTGAATCCATGCCCTTGATTTGATCTCCCAGGGGGACGTGTCACACTTGATTTGGAAGTGCATGGTATGTCTGGACATGGGCGCTGCATGGGAATTGTCATTGCAAAATAATATAAGAAATTATACAGACCTGGGGTTCGAACCCAGGTCACTAGCATCACCAACCAACACCTGTGCCACTAAGCCATGTCAACGCATTTGATATATAAATAACAAATAAATAATATAAGAGAAAGCAACGCGTTAGTGGGTAAACGCGCGCGATATTTGAACGTTCCAATCGGTGCATCCCACGTAGTCATCTTCTTCATGGCTTTTTTTTATTTTCTGAAATATACAAACATTAGACAACGGTTTTCACACCGTTGCAGAAAGTGACATATGAAAAAATAGCGAACAGGCCATAAGGCCCTATAAATTGATCGCGACGGCTGGTTTCTGTTCGTCCAAATGTGTTGAATCCAATGGCCTTGGTCTCGTCCTCCAATTTTGCCTTATCTCAAAAGCCCTAATTCTAAGCTCTGCAAACCCTAGAAATCGAACATGGCGAAATCTCGTATACAGCGTAATAATTCAATTAAACATAATGGTTAGCTTTAAAACATCATAATGAACATGAATCAATGAATAATTTTCACAAATAATGCATGGAATATGATATACGATCATGAATTTTTTTCTGTACAGTTTTGATTTCATATACCAATTCTTGGAGTTTGAATGGATGATATGGATTGGAACACGTTCAGGAACCTTCAAGGAAGCTAATGGAATAGGTTTTGTGCTTTGAATCGACCTCAAAAGTGCTTTTCAGTTTTGACTTTCTTAACAAAAAATTCAAGTTTTGCCAATGCTTTTGGGCGCAGCTTTGTGTCTGTTGTGATTAGGGTTCTGTTCTAGCATTTGTAGTGAATCAATTAGGTTAACAAAACTCAATCAAATCCAATGCAATAATGGTTTTTGGAAATTTGATTTTAAGGATCTTTTTCATATCTTTTTCAAGTGTTCTTTGTGTCAATTAGGATCCAATTAAGCCAAATCTTTCCATAATTGTACAAGCACGAAATATTGAGTCTAAAACATGCATAAAAAGATTGGTTAGGGTGGATTAAATATTTTTCATATATTTAAATGATTTAAATGAATTAATATGAATAAAAATTCAAATAAATAAATAAAAAATGAGAAAATACTTCCCTTTGGGACAAGTGGTCGTGCACATGCTTAGAATGATGAATCATGGAAGAAAAATGGGCCCATTAGCAATTTTAGGTCATTTGGATCAAAGTTGACTTTTCAAAATATCCAAAAATTTCCCAACTTCCACAAGGCATAACTTGCTCAATTTTTAAGCTTTTCTCATGTTCTTGGACATTTTGGAAAGGTCTTTGAGTCCTCTAACCAATGTCTTTGGTCCCATGGCATTTTGATTTACCAATCTCAAGTTATGGCCTTTTACTTAAAGTCTCTTTTTGTTGACTTTTGAAAATGACCTATAATGTTGAAATTGATAACTTTTTGTGAGAGCATTTCTTGGACTTGAAGTATGAAGATGAGTTGTAGGAAATGTCTTTCTCTTCAAAATGAGCTTTGGATGGAATTTTTCTGATAATCCATGTGAAAGTTATGCCCTGGTCAATTCCAGTTGACTTTTTCAGCTGTCCAAATAAAGAAACTTTTGCATCTTGATGATTTCTGAGCCAAATTTTGAGAATCATGATCAAGAATTGATCAAATGATGTTTGTGGCTTCAAAATGATATGTTGACCAAAAATTTGAACTTTTGACTGTCAAATGACCATTTTGCCCCTACAGTTGACTGTAGTGCAATTTAGGGTTTTGACTGTGCAATTTTGAGCTGAATGCCTTGAAACTTGATATGAGGATATTTGACCATATTTGTAGGCATATGAGACTTGATTGGGCCCTTGAAAACTTCATTTTCTTGATCAGAACACAAACCCTAGTTTTGACTGTATAGGAGACCTTTGCACTGTGCAACCCTTGGGGAATTTTGCAGCTTGACTTGGCAATCTTTGAAGAATATGGGAGGGCAAATTTTGGGGTACAACAGTTGCCCCTGTTCAATCTTCTTAGACCTGAGGATGCAGATTGGCGGACGTGCCTTTCGTAATCCGAGGGTAGAAGATGATTGAACACTAAAGTGCCCAGAAATTTGCGCTCACATGTTAGCAGTGTGGTGGGGGAATGGGCTTATAGATGCCATTTGGAGATTGCTGGATAGGATGATGGGCTTATAGATGCCATCTGGATATTGATCGCGTAGGAGATTCCTTAGCGAGAACCTGCATACCTGCAAAACAGAAAATGAGTACCTGACACGTTGCAGGAGCTGATTTTTAGATGCTTGGTATAGATATGTCCTGAATGGTTACAGGAGCTGGGTCTGGAGCTTCCAAAAGATGATGAATGAACCAGGGATGGTTACTACCTCTGCCTGAATGGTAAGAGAACCTTGGGTGATTTTGACTTCAACAATGCTCGTTGAGAAAGTCTTGGTGGGAAATACCATCTTCGCAGGATCGGGACGAGAACCATAGGCCATTATAATCTTGAAAGGGAATCACCTCACTCGCTGTCGGAGAGGGAATCATAAGAAAAGGAATTGTCACCTCACTCACTGTCGGAGGGGGAACCATCTGAAAAGGAATTACCACCTCACTCACCGTTGGAGAGGGGACCATAGGAGACTATCACCTCACACTCACCGTCGGAGAGGGAACCATAAGAGACTATCACCTCACACTCACCGTCGGAGAGGGAACCATAGGGATAACTTCTACTGGGTCTTCATCAGGAAAATCTGTTAGGAGTCGATTTAGCTGGACTAGAGAAGGCCTTGAAATATGTTTGAGAATTTTAACTACATCCTTCCTGAAAGGTAAAGGTCAGTCATATGCAATGCATGATATGGATCAAGCAATGATGCTCTCAACATAAATGAGATTTGTATGATATAATGCGTCTATGCATGCTATAATGATGTATGTGATGTTTTATGAATGTATGTTTCCGTCTAGGAAAGTAAATCTTTGACGGGTGCCGGGAAGTCATATCCTGGGCTGATATTGAAGGATAAGCTTTCGCTTCCGCTGGGGATGATAACTGCCAGAATACCGGTAGGAGAAGATGACTCCGTTGCGGAATAAACTTGGCAAATGGAAGATTTTGCAGGGAGAAAAGATGCTCTAGCGACCATGCTGGGAAGCAATACTCTGTGGGGATAGAGATGCTTTGCTGAATGTTGATAGTAACTTGCTGAGGATGTCTTTTTGTTGGAAGTGTGAATAGACTTCGCTGGGGTAAGAAGACTTCGTCGAGGACGCTCTTTCCGTGGCTTTTGGCTGAGGATAACCCAGTTATATCCCGTTAAGGAAATAACTCTTTGAATAAAGCCGGACGACGCGTTCGTGCTCTGCGAGGGATAAGCTTCCAGAATCTACTGGGGATAAGCTTACTGCTTGGGGGTATGAATTCCAACTTTCCTGGGGGAGCTGGATTGGACTCTCCTGGGGAGATTTTGAACTGTAATTTTGTAAGTTGAAAGAGGGAACCTATGTAGGGTCGCCTGCTGATGAGCTCGTGTAAAACCGCATCTTGAATGGAGAAGGAACCTGGGTAGGGTTACTTTGATGATGAGTTCATGTCAAACTTCGTTCTTGGAAAGGGAGAACCTGTGTAGGGTTTCTGGGTGACGAGTCCATGTAAAACTGCATTTTGAAGAGAGGGAACCGGTGTAGGGTTGCTTGGTGAGGTAAGTTCATGTAAAACTTCTTGATGAACCGGGGTGAGGTTATCTTGAGCTAAATCCATGTAAGACTTTTGGGGGGAACCGGGGTTAGGTTGCCGTAGGATAAGTTTGTGTAGAACTTCTTGACGAACCGAGGTAAGGTCATCTTGAGATAGGTCCATGTAAGACTTCTGGAGGAACCGGGGTTAGATTACTTGGATAAGTTTGTGTAAAACTTCCTGATGAACCGGGGTTAGGTCATCTTGAGATAGGTCCATGTAAGACTTCTGGAGGAACCGGGGTTAGGTTACTTGGATAAGTTTGTGTAAAAACTTCTTGATGAACCGGGGTTAGGTCATCTTGAGATAGGTCCATGTAAGACTTCGTCTGAAAATTGAGAAGGAACCGGTGTAGGGTTGCTTGATTTTGATTAAGTGGATGATTGTCCTGTTTGGTTTCGGATGTTAACCCACCGTCTGGAATTTATAAAGGTAGATGGTAATCATCTTATGTTGATCTTTCCTTTGTACTTTGGTTAAAAGAGCAATTGGATCGCCTGGATAACTCATTATTGCCCCTGCTTCGGAGGTGAGGGAAGAGGATACCTGTGTGGGTGATTGACAAATCTTCGGGTAGACAAGTGACGAGATGCCGGGACATAGTCATACGCTTTGATCCCTAACTTTTGCCTGGACCGCCCTTTCGGGTTTTCAGTCCACCGGGATACCCATTTTTGCCCAAGCCGCCTTTTCAGGTTTTCGACTTGCCGGGTGTACAGATTTTATTTTATTTCATCCCTTCGTTTTGCCCGAACCCTTTTGGTTCGTCGGGAAGCCCTTATTTTGCCTAGGCATGTCAGCCTAGCGGGTCTTTGATTATGCGCAGTATTTTTCGACTATGTCCACGCTCTCAGAATGTAGGGAGTTGCCCCTGTTGGAAGTATTTTGCCATGCCCCAGATAATGGGCAATGCTCCTACTGTGCCCCTTGATTGGAGGTACTTCTGTTCACAAGGTGTTCATCGTGCGAATTTCCCTGCTGTTCAAACAAATAGTCATATGCAAACAAGGTTATTTTAAGAATGCAAAAGCCTATGTCTGTCTTGAATTTTGAAAATGCATTTTTTGTAATACAGTGCGATGTCAACTCAAGATTTTACAGCAAACCTTCAGGAGTCAGGATACCTTCGTAACAGTATGCTTTCGAACTAACCCATGCTTCAGCTAGGACTTTTAAGGGTTATATCATGGCCTGGTTCACGGTTTAAGAAACAAAGGATAAAGGCTCAAATTATTTGTACCCACCCGCTCTTCGTGATGTTCTCCAAACCTAAACTCAGTTAATCGTGCGTTAGACCTTGTTCGAGTCTTTGCTTTGATTTTCCGGTGATGATTCGGATGTTGATAATTTATTCTGACTGGACAATCATTTTTGCTTTTGTTGAGGGTTTGTTATCCCTTTCTTTTTGCCTGAACTGTTTCCTTTTTGGAATTACAGTCAGCGGGATGCCCCAGTTTCATAAGTCCCTTTTTATAGGTTTTGACTTCTTGGGCTTTTCGTTCATGATTTTTTTTTGATAATGACTGCCTGTCTTGACGATTATAGGGAACCATCACTGTCTTTTGTTTTGTAAGGACTTTTTGTGTCATTCGCTATGCACTTGGATCAACTGAGAGAACTACCCCGCCCCAGGTTATGATTATGGGTTTTAAATTTCGAAAAGAAAAACTCCTACTTCTTTGGCTCAGAGGGGTTGACGAGGGATTATCTTCCTTATTACTCCAGTGTTTAGGAATTGAAACAATTCCTGTACCTCATCAGCGGGGTCTGTTCAAAAGCATACTGTATGTCGTGGTATTGTTTTCGTCATCCTCCCTCAAGAGGTTTAGAATTTTCAGTCAAGAGTTGATCGTCACAAAATTATGAAAGCAGTTTTAAGTATAGTAGACATAATTAAATCAAGACAGACATGTGTAATGCATTCATGAAATAAAAGAGTTTAACATGATAATTGTTTATCTGAACAAGAAAAGAAAAATACAACTTGAATTCAAATGAACAAAAATCTCTCGATCCTAGCCATGTTTTGGCAATGGAGCAGTGATCACGTTGGGAGTCTCGGCAGGCTCGAACTCGATCTCTTTGGCATCGATCATGTTCTGAATTTTGTACTTCAGTGCCCAACAGTCCTCAGTATCGTGCCCCGGGCTATCAGAATGATAAGCACACCTCGCTTCTGGGTTGTAGCTTGGAGAGGAGGTCTTGGGATTGGCAGGAGGGTTAATCACCGCAATCAGGTTCATTTTCAACATGTGCTGTAATGCTTGTGACCATGGCATGTTAATGTTGGTGAATTGTCTTTTAGGCTCGTCCGGCCTTCGCTGGTTTCCCTTTTGTGGTTGACGGCGTGGTGCAGAACCAGAGATCATGACTGCCCCTGCATGTTGATCACGACGACTCTTTTGACCGTATGCAGCATTAGATTCCTTCTTTCCCGTGTAAGGCTTTTTATGAATATCAGAAGGTGTGGTCTCTTGAATTTTCCCACTCTTGATACCAGCTTCAATTCTTTCGCCAGTCAGGATGAGGTCGGTAAATCCAGCAGATGAGTTACCAATGAGGTGATTGAAGAATGGCACGGATAGGGTCCCCAAGAACATATCAACGAGTTCCCGGTCAGTTAATGGAGGCTGCACCCTTCCAGCAAGGTCTCTCCATTTCTGTGCATACTCTTTGAACCCTTCGCCTGCACCCATAGACATTCCCTGAAGCTGAGTGCGTGTGGGAGCGAGGTCGGCATTGTACTGGTAATGCTTGTAGAAAGCAGTGGCTAAGTCTTCCCAGGTACGGATGTTGGCTCCATTCAATTGATAAAACCACTCGAGCTGAGTCCCTGAAAGACTCTCTTGGAAGAAATGGATCCATAAGTTTTTGTCAGCTGTATAGGGTTGGATCCTCCTTGTGTAAGCCCTGAGATGCAATTTAGGACAGGATGCCCCGTCGTATTTAGCAAAGGCAGGTGCCTTAAACTTGTGCGGGATCACTACCCCAGAAGACAGACCTAGATCCTCGAAGTCCAGGCCAGGCACCTTTTGTATCTCCATAGCACTGAGCCGGTCTTCCAACTGTTTGTATCTATCCTCAGCCGGAGGGTACTGTTCGTCATTGACATCTGTCTCATTGTCAGAGACCACTGGGCTGGGAATCCTTTCCTCTTGATGACTGCTTTTCCCCACAGATGGAGTTGTCCTCTCAGTTTGATCCTGCAGGGTATTCCTAGATCTGCGTCTAGGGCTGAACAAAACCGTCCTCTTCTTCTTCTTTTCTTTCTTCAAAAGCAGAGCCTTCAGATCTTGTTGCCCCTGGGTCAAATTCATGATCAGCCGTTGGAACTGGGCGTTCTGAGCCTGGAGGGCCTTGATAGTGTGTTCGGTTGAAGATTCAGGATTCATGACGAGATTGCTGAAATAAACAGCGAAGAAGGTAAGTAACCTGCAGAGAAAGGGTACCTGTTATGCAATGACATGTATGATATGCATGCAATGGTTTCAAGGACCTCGCGGGGTAAACAGAGAAATTGTTAGAGTTGAGAACTGGTAACTTGATTGAAGGAACTTCATGTTGTTGAGAATCCTTCTTCAAGGGTCAAAGGCTCACCATATCCAGTGGGTCATAGCCCCTGACACCCTTGGCTAGAGGAAAATAAATCCCCTTTGCCCCTTGCTGGGTAATTGGTTTATCATGACCTGCATCACAAGCCCTTGAGATCCTTGAAACGGGTTAGGATGTATGCAATGGTATGCAATGGTATGATGTCATGCTATGCATGGGATAACATAAGTGACCCTGTTATGAGCCCCAATTAAGGACTATAAACAACCTGCAAGAAACTTAGTAAACCCTGTTATGAGCCCCCATTAAGGACTATAAACAAAACCTGTAAGAAACCTAGTATACCCTGTTATGAGTCCCTATTAAGGACTATAAACAAAACCTGCAAGTAGCTTATGTGTTAGATAACACGCATGCAATTAGTCAAGTACGAAGGCACACAAGTCACACAAGAGAAGCCCTTAGAGTTTAGGCCAGCATGAGGTCTAGGTATTACCCTCTTGAAGTTGGTGGGCTCAACCTGTCCTATTAGAAGTAACCGGGTTCTAAGGTTCCCAATATCACGGGATTGCTTTCATTGTTCATCGTTTCGATTTAGCCACTGAACTGGCGACCGAAATATTCCAGGAAAGCAACCCTCGATTGGGTGTAGTATCGAGTATCAACCAACCTCGGACTGCACCAAAGTCAGTTATCTCACTACCCTAAAGAGGCCAAGATTGTTCAATTAAGGTTCCTAAGGTCTGTTGACGCTTCACGACACCACGCGGAGGCCCCGTACTCTCCTTGACTGAACTCAAGGGTTACCGGTACACACCAAAGTGCCACATCAACGTAGCAGACTGTTTCAACCATGTCGGTATACCCCGCACAGTTCCCTCACAGCCTTGTTGCTACTTTCTAAGAAGGTATCCCCCAGATCCGGGTTAGGATCTATAGAACTCCCATGCAACCCACAATAATAAAGCAAGCAAAGAAGACAATTGAAAACACAGTTATGTACTAGCCCTAAGGTACACCTCACTTTAAGATAATTCCCCAGCAGAGTCGCCAGTTCTGTGATCGGTGGATCTGGAACTGACTATTTAACGCTGGTTCGCGAAATGTCGCTGAAGCAAGAGTCGCCACCGTCTTTTATTTTCTCCAAATGGAAAGGACAAAAGCACAGAAAAATTCCTTAAAGAGATTGCTCTCGGTTCGGGAGGTAGATTATAGAAAGGGAAGGTATTAGCACCCTTTCTATCCATGGTTATCCATGGGCTCTTAGATACTTGCTCATTTGTGTTTTCAAAAGTGTTTGCTTTTCAATTGGGAGTGGGTTTGAAAAAAAGTTTCGTTTAAAGATTTCAGATCGACTCTTGTATCAGTCCTCAAGAGTGTTTGAAAAATTGTTTTGAAAGCTTTTTGAAAAGTGTCGGTGTGAAAAGATTTTTGTTTGTTTTTGAAGTTAGAGCAAGTATCTACGAGAACCTACCTACCCTAAGGAATTCGTCTGTGTAAATGTCCTTTAAAGTAGTGCCATCCCACCATTGAGAGGTAGGTAGCACCACCGTTGGAGGTGTTCGGGTCAA